TTTCTGTGTATAATTAATGTATAACACTGTATATGTATATCACTGTCTAATACTTCATCTGTGTATATATGGACACGTTTTATGGCACTTCCTATCATCACCACGCGAGGCGCAAGTACTTCTATGAGAATTCAGTCGTTCATAATTTTGTTTTTGTAGTATGATAAGGACATCATTGTGGATGCGCATTTTAAACATATAATCATTTATTATTTTCTCATAAAACAAACGCGAAGTGAATCCGTTTGCTGATTGGTGCCAAGCTTACTCACGTGACGATCACAAACAACAACCCGGAAGTGTCATGGCGATGGGATCCATGCTGAAACAAAAATAGAGCACGCTTCATGCATATTTTGGTTTGAGTCTTTAAGTTTGAGTATTTTCTTGCATCAAAAGATCCGGAATATTAAAGGTATTTCATTTTAGGAACAGTTTACAACGCCTTTTTGCACTATGTGCTTCTGTTAATATTGCATCACCAAATGTGATATGATTTGGCCACGTGGCTAAATAATTTCTTTATACTTTCTTAGCTAGCAATAAAGAAGAACATGTGTTTAATACTTTACTAAATGTAATTTGAGTGTTGATATAGCTAAGGTTGAAATAACCTGTCCACTGACTAAGTTAGAAGGATGTATTTTATGATGTAATTTTGTCATCGTTGGAAAAAAACAACACTCAATTAAAAAAATAAAGTGCCATACAGCTTTACCTGAAACTCTCCTAAAACTGTTACCACATTAACGGATTATTTTCTTCATTATGTTTATTCTTTTTACTACTTTATTTGCTTGATTCAGGATGGCTGACTCAGGGTCCAGTGAACCCAGTGGTCAAAGAGTCCCAAACCCCAGTGGAAGTGGGATGGGGCTGCTCGCAGGGCGCAGAACATCTGCTGGCCTCTCCCCTGGAAGAATGCCCTCTATACGCTCTAGAGACCTGACTTTGGGGGGTGTTAAAAAGGTACTGAAATATAAACTGTTACAAATTCTTAAGTGATGTGTTAATACTCTATTTTTGTAATATTTTTAGAAAACATTTACGCCCAACATTATTGGAAGAAAAATCAAAGAAGAGTAAGTACCACTTAAAAAAAAAAATCTGATACAGTATGCAAATGTATCACTATTTTGATTGTGATAGACCTAAAGGACCTGAGGGAGGACAGCGGAGAGAGAGGCGGGAAGACCGAGGCAGAGGTCAAAGAGATCGAGGCAGGGGCAGGGGCCGAGGAGAGCTCATTCAGTCTCACTCCATTTTTGAGCAAGGACCTGCTGAAATGATGCTAAAGAAGAAAGGTGCAATATTTCTCTGGATTGCTTATAGCCACCCCCTCATGCATGTTTATGTTGATAATATGTGCAAGGGATTTTATTCATTTGAAGTTTGTTTCTTACAGGTGTTTATGAGAGTGAAAGAGATGCCCCAAGTATGGGACCTTCACCCATTATCAATATTAAAAAAGAGTACAGGGAGACAGAGGAGGAAACCAAAGAGATTCTACGCAAACTCGAGAGAGATAATGTAAGCTACTTATAAATTATACATTTAGTTGTAACAGACAGTAGCTAAGAAAATGGCCCTATTTTACAGTTCATCGATGATCCCTTTCTAAGAAGTGAGCGTCGCTGTTGCCCAGTACAGCTGCCCCTTGCTGTGTCAGGTTGGGGCTTTAAGGAGGAGTTTAATGTTAAAACTGAGAAAGTAGAGGAGGACATAGAACCAATGGACACATTATCTGAAGGTTAGCTATCTCAATTTGTAGCTATATCCATTTAAGATTTTGCCTAAAATGACAGAAAATTTAACACAACAATTCTAAAACATTTTTAGGTGTAATGCAATTGTAAAAATGTTAATAATATTTTCTCATTTAATCCTTTTCCCTTTTGTAAACTAGAAAAAGAGGAGAAAGTGAAGAAGACTGAAGAAACCTTTCGGCCCCCTCCTCTCCCTGAGCCTGAGGTTTTGCCTGATCTGATGCATAAATGGAGTCTCAGCAAAGGAGAGGAGCTTTTCTTCATGCAGCTCCCAGATTCTCTGCCTGGACAACCTCCCACCAAAGAGAACAAGCCAGTGAAAACAGAAGTGCAGTCAGAAACCGGACCGTCAATGCTTCTCAAGACAGAAACACAGGTATAAAGCCTGAAGAGTGACCCAAGAAATATACTGTTTATATTTTAGGTTTTTGAAACTTTTTTTATCGGCAAATCCACAGGAAGATGAGACTGACGAGAATTGCTGTAGTTTGAAGGATCTACGTGAGGGTCTTATAGGAAAGATGCTGGTGAGGAAGTCTGGGCGAGTGCAGCTTATACTGGGACAAGTGACGCTTGATGTCTCTTTAGGAACAACTTGCTCATTTCTACAGGTTAGTACATTCACATTCACAAGATTGTGTTAATTTCTTTAATTTATGCTTGTCTTCTCCTTTCTTCTGTCACATTTTAACAGGAACTGGTCTCGGTTGGAAGTGAAGGAAAAGCGGGAGACATGACTGTTTTGGGACACATCAAACATAAAATGGTTTGCTCTCCAGATTTTGAAGCTCTTTTAAAAACAAGTGCCTGATGATGGAGAAGCACTGTGCCAAAGTTCATATATGTCAAATATGTGAAGGGAATCATTGAGACACTAATATTTAAACTAAATATTAAATATAAATATTAAATATTGCTGCGTTTAAGTTGTTACAATAACTACTTTATTTTATCACTTGCAGCAACTGTAACATATTGTAAAATTGTGAATAAATCAGTGTTATCACAAAAATCCATAAGACTGATCGATTTTAACTGTTTCTTTTTAAAATCTAGATATTCAGTTGGTAGGCCAATATGAAGAACACTGTGTGTTAAATTGTTTTATATCTGGACTAGACCTGGGCATTGTACAGCTCCTGGGCCACATATGGCCCTTTGGTTGACTCTGACCGGTATATTTAAGTTAATTTGGAATTACAATATAAACATATTTTAGCATTTTACCTCATGCATGGACTAAAGCTGCATTGCTTTTATTTTAGAGGTGTTTTTTAAATAACATTTTTTGTGAATGAACCTCATTTTTTTATTGCTTTCTTGTAAGACTCTTACCAGTCTTACCAGCTTGTCAAAACAATGCTATTTACTGCTTTTTTATGAAGAAATACAATTAATATTATGCAGAACTGAGTTAAGCATTTTGGCCCTCCACAATATTTCTCATGTGGCCTCCATGGAAAAAATAAGTGACCACCCAGATCAAGACAGTAGTTCACATCTTCACAGCTCGTATGTCTGCCTAGTTGTGCCACAAGGGGGCACTTATTATCAATTTTCATATCTCTGAAATTATTGTATAAATTATTACGATTATGTTGTAATAATGATTTTCAGAAATCTATTTATGTTTAGGAATATTGTTTCAAAGGACATTTCTTTACTGGCATTTTCTACTGGGGTTTAATGTCTGTTGCACATACACATGTTTAATTGCTCTAAAATAGACTGCCGCAATAGCATCAATTTACAGATCTACTACTAAATTTAATTCTAAAATTTGTAATTAATTAAACTGAGTTTCATTTGTTGAGAGAAGGTTGTCGTTATAAGGAAGGGCAGTGGGCTACCTTCTAATGGTGCAGTACCGTTAGTCGCCGACAGGGGATATCCTACAGATGGCGTGTTCAAAACATACGCCGCTTGCTGCTGCTGCTGCTAGTGGAGGCCAGGCGGAGTTTGGCTACGGTCCGCAGACAAAGACTAGGGATGGGCGATGAAGCCTCACGACCCGGGCGCTGGACACATTACAAGAGGTCAGTCAACGATTTACTGATGTTGCTGTCATATCTGATTAAACTGTAGTTTGTTTTGCCGGTGCGAGTCCTCTAAGCAGCCAGCAAGTCCGCTAGAAGCTCACCAAGATAAAATGTAGCGGCGTGGAGGAGGCCACAAGCTAAGTTTAGCATGGAGTTAAATTCTCCTCAAGCACTTCCCTAGCCCACTCTCCACGTGGTTTAAAATAAATTGGCCAAGACGTACTATTTATTCCTAGAAAGTACCATCTGAAGGCATGATCTCGTGCTAAAGAAGGAGCCCTGCTAATAGTCCCGTCCCGCTGGTCGGGATGGAGAATAGCTGCATCATTAGAGCAGGGTAAAGGGAGGGCCTCAGTTTAGCTCTTATCTTTTTATTTAAACCTTTTGTGATCGTTTGCAAACACTAGAAGCGTTTTTGTGCCTCCTATTTCTCAGTTTGTTTGTGTAAGATGTGTATATTACGATGCTATTATCATTATGTAATGCATATGGACAACTACCACAGGTCATATTGGGGTAAATACCGTAGTAAATTTATTACAACAGCCTACTTGACAAAATTTTGTTTTGTTGTTTTGCAGGTTTGTTCAACATTAAGCTATAAACCTAGCCATTCTTCCCCACCGGCGAATAAGTGCTCCTGCTGTGGCCAGTTGTTTCATTGTTTACATCTTTTCACCGCTGAGAGGTCAAATATCAAGGGACATCTGCTGCAAACAGGACTAAGTAACGCTGAATTTTCAAGAACCCTTTTTCCAGGGAGTACTTTGTATCACCGTTAAGAGGGGGTAGTTGCAAAGAAGAATGGCATGAACTGGATATATAAAACACAACAAGATGTTTGTAGAATCAGTATTTTTTTCATAAAAGCAACTCTAAGTCAAACAAATGGCGATGATCTTTTGACAGTTAGGGTATCTTGAGGACTGGGGTTTGACAGTGCTCCTTCTTTTCTTGTTGTGGTTAATACATGCTTAATAATAGACTTTGGCTCCCTACTTCAAGATGGAGTTTTTTTTCAACCCCTTTGACAATTTGTTGTGTATCCTCCTTGGGATATCTTTCACTGTCTGGGTCACCCTGCTCCTGGTTTTCATCATCGTTCCTGCCATTCTTGGGGTTTCATTTGGCATCCGAAGACTTTACATGAAAACCTTGCTTAAAATCTTTGAGGTAAGGATTTCATTTGCTTTTGAATGATAGAAAATTGAAAAATAAAACATATTAAATAGATTGGATGTCCAGGATATTTTAACTGAATCACTTAACACTTTCTGAACGCTACAAGTGTTGAGCAGGAGCCAGAAAAAAACTGGACGAGAGCGAGATATTTGAGATGTTCTATGCTCAGGAGAGAAGTTCAGAGGGCAAATTCAGGCTGTGGTGCCAAATTATGATCTCCCACAAACCTACTGTTTGCCTTGACCTGTATGTCTGTAGAACTTTTTAAATATTTGTATTAATGTAATAAGCCTTTTTGTTTATTTAGTGTCATTCACATCCTTCTATCCACATTAACAGTTTATCTCAACAAGTCTGTAGCATGTGGTGGCTTGTTGTGAGCAAGTTTTGTGTAACTTAACTTACAGTGTACAGTAACTTAAGTAACTTACTTAAGTTACTGTAGTTAGAGGGTGCTTGTATAGGTAAAAGACAGTCCCACTATTTTTTTTCACCTGCATATTTGAGTGAAAGAAAACTGGATATCTATTTGCAGAATGGATAGGTCATAATTTTGTCTTTAATATGACTTTAAACAGCTCTTCCCTACATTTATCCAATTACAGGTGGTTTTATAGCTCAAAAATACCTAGAAAAACAGGCATTTGGACTGTGAATGGGGTTGCATCTCCACAGATCTGACCTGTAACGTGGTCTGGTTTGGTCTCCATGACAATAGACAGGTTTAAATACTATACTGTCAAACATTCCAGCCAAAGCAATAACAGCTTCATGGAAAAAGCATTTGACGGGCCTTCCACCAGAAAAGTTACATAATGCACTTTTTAAGTAGACTTTAGCTGGGGCAAATTCTTTAGTTTCAGTTCCACCAATCTCAACCTCATGTCACTGATCATGCTGACAAACTGTGCAGTCAATGTGTATTCACCTTCTCAAGTCTCATTATTCTTCTTATTCTGTATGTATAATTTTAAACAATATCATTTGTTTTATTGGCATTCTGTACTTTTTCCAGATGAAACATGCCCTCTCTTATTGCAACATCAGCTTTATTGCAGCTTTAATATTTTTCTGTGTTTCAGTGGGCCACTCTAAGATTAGAAAGAGGTGCAAAAGAGAAGAATCACCCCCTTTACAAACCATACTCAAATGGTGAGCTATATAATTGATTATTGAACTTAAATGTTGTGCATAAATATGTTATAACTTTGTAATCAATCTGTTGTTCTACAGCAATCATCGCGAAGGAGCCAACCTCACTGGAGGAAGAGATCAAGGAGATACGGCGTAGTGGCAGCAACAAAGACTTAGGTTCAGCCACTGAGTTTGAAATGTCAGACATCTTTTATTTTGCTCGCCGAGGAGTGGAGAGCATCATGGACGACGAGGTGACCAAGAGGTTCTCTGCGGAGGAATTGGAATCCTGGAACCTGCTCACTCGGAGCAACTACAACTTCCACTACATCAGCCTCAGGTTGACTGTGCTTTGGGGGCTTGGCGTTCTCATCCGCTATGGGCTCCTGCTGCCACTCAGGTATCTGCCATGGCTGACTGTAACACTTGTCTTCATCTTGTCACAAATAGAAATGATCACATTCAACATTTGTGTTTTTGCCTTTTCAATATTTCATGATAAAATACAATGTAATCTATTGGGAAAACTGGCACATTCCATGTGAATATGTATATTTTGTGTATATATTTTGTGCAATAATATAATAAGGACTATCCCACAGAAATGGGTTTATAAGTTTGTTTGCAGAGTAGACAGTCTCTGTGTTATGACTGGCTGTACTCCAACTTCAGTTTGATCAGGCCACTACAGGCCTACTCTCATACAAGCACTTAAATTCATCTTCAGATAATTTTGATCACCTTTAATGGAATAATGCACAAATTTCAGTTTTTATAAAAAAAAAAATCCTACCCATCTTAATCATACAATTTAACATTTTTGTGTTAGGGACTCTTTATGTAATTGAGGCAGGTTGTCTCATCAGAATTACTTTAATTCATCCCAGGGGAAATTATTTTCTGTAGTCCTGCTTTGCCAACCAGAGGAAGGAATAGCTAATATATATTGTTTTTAATTAAAACCATCAGTTTAAACGTTTAGTGGAAACATAACTTAGAATAAAAGTAGTTTCTATAGCTCAAATTACTAACCAAACTAAAGAATATGTGCACGTAAATACAACTGTATACAGATATAGATCAAATTTAACATCCAGGCAAGTGCCTGTTTTAACTGCAGAGAATTGTGTTCTTTTATAGGGTAACTCTTGCCTTCACTGGTGTGGGTCTCCTTGTGTTTCTCACCTCATTGATTGGACTATTACCAAATGGAAGGTAATGGAAAAAAACAACATCACTTTTAAACACATTATCTGCAGTTAATTATCCTCAAAATAAACTTCCATTTTGTGTGTGTTTCTGCAGGATGAAAAACCTCTTGAGTGAGAAGGTGCATTTGATGTGCTATAGAATATGTGTCAGAGCATTAACTGCAATCATCACTTACCATGACAGGTGAGCAGGATCTTTTGGTTTACACAGCCAATGTTTGAAATCCAATTAACTCTGTTGTTAAGAACTTAATAAGCACATTTTGAAATGCATGTAATCTTGTATACATTTTTTAATGTTTCAGTCTTAATTGTCCCAGTTTAAAATGCGCACTCTAAACAGAATGCTGGTTTTGAATATAAATGACCTCAGTGCTTGCCATAAATATCTCAATTTGATACATTTTTAGGCTGCACTGCACACGCATACCACAGTGTAATAGGGATGAAACTGAAACTAAACCTGGGCTAGATCAGGACCAAACTAAGTCTACATCCAGATTAAACTGGGCTCAAACCAGGTCCAAACCAGGACAAGTTGTGAACGTACCCTTTGTCTAGTCTTGAGGTTCTCCTAGATCAGTAACAACTCTCAAGGGTCGTAATTTACACCAGACTACGTGTTGTGGCAAGGCTAGAAAAATCAGACATTACATAACCATGGATATGTTCTGAATGTTAGACAGTTGAACACTGGCTGCCTGAGGCTTCTCCGGACGTGCCACTTGGATTCAAAGGCTGGTTAAAGTGAAACTGAAAGAGTATTATTATGAAACCTAAATGTTTTTTGTTTTTTTTAATGTTAAAATGGGCTGACCATTAGTTATTATATCTAGTAATAATACAATAACTGAAATATTATGATATCATACAGTCAAAAGTTTCAGAGTAATATTGTGAGCCATCACAAGTCTCTGCTTAAATTCATTGTTATGGTGAGATTTAGATGTCGCTACATCCCTGGTAATAATGTAAGCTTTCCTTTAGTCCCCTTAAATATCATGTGCCCCTTGTATGCTGGTTTGCCTTGCTCTAAAAATACACATGACTGAGAACATGTTTAGCTCATCTTCTTTGAAGATTGTAATTTGATCTCTAGATTGGTGTAGGTCTGTAGATTTTCACCATTGGTTGCTTTGTTTTATCTCAGTTGATAATTTGATCCTACACATATTTGACATACTATATTTTACATTTTGCAATTGTAATGTTACTTGTCATATAATTACTTGTATTAAGATATTTTACTTTGAGATTGCTTGACTAGTGAGATGTTTTGTAGTGAGAACAAACCCAAGAATGGAGGAATCTGCGTCGCCAACCATACCTCACCTATTGATGTTATCATCCTGGCTAGCGATGGCTGTTATGCAATGGTAAGAACAGTTGTCCACTAACAATGGATGCCACTCTTTTACTATGTAAATTCAAAACTGGTGTTAAGTGCTATATCTATGTTTGTTTTGTATATCAGGTTGGGCAAATTCATGGTGGTTTGATGGGGGTAATTCAAAGATCTATGGTAAAGGCCTGCCCACACATTTGGTTTGAACGCTCAGAAGTCAAAGACAGACACCTAGTGGCCAAAAGGTGACACTGCAACCAACAACCTGATCATTGTTTTCTATCCTGTGTTGTTCATGTTAACTAAAGCAAATGTATTCTTTCACAGACTAAGTGACCATGTGGAAGACAAAACCAAACTCCCAATTCTTATTTTTCCAGAAGGTATACGACATAGAAATGAACATGTTCTGTAGCTTGTAGCTTTAGGCAACTGGTTTCTTTTTATTTATTGACTCTTTTCAGGTACTTGCATCAATAACACATCTGTTATGATGTTTAAGAAGGGAAGCTTTGAGATTGGAGGAACTGTCTACCCAGTTGCTATTAAGGTAATTTATCATGTATGTAAAGTATATTATAATGTAAATATAATTGCCATAATAATTAAAGTGAGGTGTGAAATGGATACATAGAAATAAATTAACTTGATTAAATTGAAGGTCTAATAAATTAAAATTTTATAATTTTTATAATTTTGATAGGAGTGGCAAAGGAGAAATCCAGTTTGTTAACTGGACAAACATCTATTTAGGTCAAAAATGTTCGCAGCTCGTACAAGCTCCTTCAGTTCTGGTCAGAATGCTGGAGGACACATCCTTATATCTGCCTGCAGGGAGGAGATAACTAAACTGAAACTACTCTGAAACTAACACCCTACTTGTTTACAGTCGCTGACTAATTGAATTTCTCCTTTGCCATGGATTCTACCTGGATGACTGAGTGATTCTACACATTAATAAGAGTGGATTACTTAAAGCAGAGGTCTCCAACCTGTAGCTTGGTAGTTACCAGTAGCTCTTCACCCCCTTCCAAGTAGCTTGCCAAGGAATTTTAGAATTCTATGTATTGTGGATAATGAGTTAAATTTGAATAATTACCATTGTAAATGTATCATTTTGATGCCTAACTTGGTGCACTGATAAATGTATAATGCTTTCTGTTTTATAAGCATCTAATTGTTGCCCATCTAAGGCTCAGCGTGACTCTTTGGCATTTTCTTTCATAAAGGTAGCTCACTATAGAAAAAAGGTTGGAGACCCCTGATTTAAAGTATACTTTCATATATTTAACTTTTATTGCTTTTCTGAACAGTATGATCCTCGATTTGGAGATGCTTTTTGGAACAGTAGCAAATTTGGAATGGTTAACTACCTGCTGCGCATGATGAGCAGCTGGGCTATAGTTTGTAGTGTGTGGTACCTTCCACCAATGTCACGTGAGGTGAGTTGGACCAGGCCAGCCAGTAAAATCATAAAATAATGTGGGTATATAAATGCCTACATGCATTTACAATGCATTTGTCCCAAAGGAAGGAGAAGATGCTGTCCAGTTCGCCAATCGTGTGAAGGCAGCCATTGCCAGGCAAGGTGGATTGGTTGACCTTCTGTGGTAAGATGATCATTTTAAATAAGTCCTTTAGAATCCTTAATCTTAAAAACAATTAAAACAATTAAAAACTAACAGTTTTAAAATTTTAATCACAACTCTTCTTCAATATTTTGATTGACTCTAGGGATGGGGGTCTGAAGCGAGCCAAGGTAAAAGATACCTTCAAAGAAGAGCAACAGAAGCTGTACAGCAAAATGCTGGTGGGCACTCAAGAGGACCGCAGTCGCTCATGAGGGACCTGTAGAACTATGGACTATGGTCAGCTCTGCTCCTGTCTGTTGACGCATGTGAATTGGAGAAGATCCTTTCAGATGTCGACAGAACTCCATTTGGCTTCCTCAGTCACTGCCGTGGTCTGGCATGTTTCAGTTTGCATTGCTCTTTGGGGGTCACTCTTTGGGGTTGCTCTGAGTCTGCTGCACTTTGTTGGAAGAACAAATGGATGCACTCAGGCAGTGTTGTCTTCCTTTTGTAGAAAAAGCCAACTTTCCTATTTTTGTTTAATAGTTTGAGATTTTAGAAGTTACTATAATTTTTGTATCACAGTATTTATGTTGCATTTACCTAATACTGGGACACTAGAAAGACCTCATAATAGATAAGCTGTTGCTTGAACTGACTTGAGTCCACGGGAAATGCCTTTCTTGTTTTAAGGCAGAATTACATTTCATTGTATTTTTTAAGCATTATTCAGGGAGACTCAAAGAGGGATGTTTTGTTACATATTTGGGTCTTTTCTGTTGAGTGTATAAATTTTACATTATGATATGGAAATTAGAACCCAAAGTTAAACTGTTATTGTTGTTACAGTTCCACTTAATCATCTTGTTTTAATTTTCAAAATAGGGTATTCATTAAAATCAACATTAGGCTTTATTTATTTATTTTTATTATGGCCTTAAGATTAAAATCTTTTTTTCTAAATACAATGCATTCACATAATGCCAATTTCTTTAAAATTGCTTAAATAGCAGGTATCAGAAATGACTGCACTGATCCTGTATTGTTCATCTCATTTCAACATCTAACGTTTTGGTTTGTTTCTTTTAACCAGGACTGGCTTACTTTGAGTGACATATAGCTTTAAGTTGCCAATCCCCAGCAAATGAATGTGAATTTGGTATTAAAAATTATAAAGGATTTTAAACACGAAAAGGGATACTGAATTAATTTGTGAACCTTTTATCTGCCCCATCAATGATCACTCTTCTGTGACTCTGAGGAGAGAGTGAGAGATGACATTTTTAACTTATATGTTCCCGCAGATAGACAGCCACAGTGACCATGAGTAAATAAATGTTCAATGTTCGCCTGGGGCTTCACTTGTCTTAATTCACTAACCGAGGTACTGTAATGCAAAAATACTATTGAAATTCAAATTTGCTTATAAATTTGTAGATACTATTGAGCCAGCGTTGTTTTGTCGCTCTGTTATGTAAGCTCCTAAAAAGATGGTCTTTTCTAGCCAGCGTCTTTGCATCTCAGGCCTCCCTTTAGCGCTTTGCCTTTCAAGCACCTTTGTCCCTACACCAGTAATGGGCATAGCAGCATTTGCTTGTACTGCCGTGGAAATAGTTTAAAACAGATTTATTGAGGTTGTTGAACAAAACACACAGTAATAGAAGGAGGAGTTAAAGGAAACAGGACGAAGAGTGCAAAAGGGTGGCTGTATAAACAATACCATGGTTGAGCAGCTCCCTGACTGCACTATGGTGAGCAGAAGTAGGGCCCCAGCAGTCTCAGCCAAGAGGGGACTCCTTGTGGGCACAGGGCCATAAAAAGAGCAGTTGTATCAAAACTACAACTTTAAGTTTGTGTTAACCGTTATTTTTAGTCTATATTTAAAAATAAGATTTTATGCTAAACGATGTCTTATAACAACTTATAAAAAAGACAAATGCAGAATAATTTATAGTATGCTTCCATCAGGGTTTAGGTTACGATTAATCCGTTCACATAATCGGGGCAGTGGTAAAACTTGTAAAAAGTAGCCTACACCATAACGCTGGTATTTCAAAACAAAAGGATTTCATTGGAAAAGGAGAGGTGAGTGTAGTCTAACTTCCTGTTTACGCAAGAGAGTATTTCATTGCAAGAAAAATACAATGGGCCGCATTGAACGCGTCTTGTAGCCAACTTAAACGCATTAAGTTGTTTTTTACGTTCAACTTGAATTGAAATTAGTTGTGTAAAGTGTTGTACATTGAGAGTTTAAACCAGGAAGACATTAACATGACAGCTCTTATGGGCGGAGCACAGATCTGTCAACATACCGCTGCGCCAGTAGCTTTGAACGAGGCTTGAGCGTCCCTTGAAAGCAGCAGATGCTCTGTCCAGTCTGTCTAAGTCCTCTAAGAAGATAGTAGTCCAATTAGCCGAGTGGAGGCGGACATCCACCCATACATGCCAAATTTCACGCTTTTTCGCCTAAACATGGATATGGACACTGCTCTTACGTGTGACTTGCAGCAGCCCGCCATCGGCAAACAAGTTAAACGTTACGTCCCAAGAAACGCTGTTCTGAGATGCCGAGATATTTCTGAGCGCTTGTAAGTTGCGGTCGGACTCTCACACAACAGTACCTAAAGCCTCTAGTCTATAAGCTCCTAGAAGAAGACGACAACTAGGCCTTGAAGCGAAGTTTGATTTGACAGTATCTGTTGAGGACCATGGAAAGCTACACTGATGTGCTTCTTGTCACCGCCAATGTCGGCTCACTCTTTGACAACGTAAGTGCCGCCACAACTTCACCAACACCGAGGTCGTCGCGCGCTGGCGTAGGGTCATATGAGCAAATCAATGTTTCAAATGGTTATACAATGGGTTACCTAGTATTTCCTTTACAGATTTACGCAGCTTTTCCTGTAGGCCTACGTGCGTTTTCCGACTAGGTGCTAAGTTACAGTGTGGTAAATGTACCTGCAAAAAGAAAAAAACAAAAAAACCGCCTAGTGCCATATTTCATTCGTCACCTGTCAGTACCGTGTGTGCAGGGCCGTAGTTATCCTTTCTCTTTTTTTTTTATAAACCTAATGAGTTCAGACAGGCACTATGATGCTGCAAGGTTATGTCAAAGTTTGCTGACCACGTGACCACCATTCACTGATTAGAAAACTTTATTATAAAACAGTATACAGGATAATTTTTCTGGTGGAGTGTCCATCTGCGACCTGCTACTGCTCTTCTCCATGGAGAATAGTTATTGCTTTACTTGGAATGTTCTACCACAGCATAAAATTATTATTTATATTTTATTTAGCCTATTCATTTTTTATTGAATATAACATGTAGCTTTCCACCAGAGACTTTCATAAGTTACTCTGGAACATTTTAGGCAAAGCAATACCATCACCAAGGAGACAAGTAGGTGTGTCGTCCCGAAACGTTACATAGTGCACTTTTAAAGCAGGAGACAAAATATGTATGGGCTATTTTTATGCCACTAATGCCTACAGTTGAATAGAACTCATTCCAGCAGAAAGTAACTATGGGCCTTAAGTGGGGTGGGCTACTGTAGGCCCAAGGGTGATGAATATTGGTCATATTTGAATTTATTTAGTTGGACAGTGCACACAAAAACATATACATAGAAAATATGTCATGTATCAGGTTTTAGCAAAACTAATAGTTTCCACCCGCAGTCCCTGGACCAGTTGATGTCACAAATTATCTCATATTATTATTGATTATAGGCCTGTTGATTTTTGTACATAGAACATTTAACCCTACTTTCACCTGTCATAGGTTAAAGTTTCTAATCAATGTAAGTGTGAACTGTTGGTTATTCAGTTACTATACATAATATATGGTTTCCTTCTTTGTCTTGACTTATCACGGTGTTCCCGATAGGTCTCACAGTGCTAGTTTTACTACTTCAATTTCACTGTAAGTCTGTGTTTTTAGTTGCTAAGGACTGAACAAAATATTTATGTGAGTAATATCAAAATACAGCACTTTTTTACACTGACATGGCAAAATATTTCATACAACTGAAGATGTTGCTCGGGGGCTGTTCATTGAGTCATGGAAATTTGGCTGAGGTTCAGCTCCATTTTTGTCTTGGTCCCTTTGTGGCTGAAATGTAAGCAGATTAATATCTCTCTGGCCTGTGGACCTGGGCCTGTACTGACTCACACTATTTCTGTAAATAAACAGACTTCTACATTTACCCTGCCCCTGAAATGAGAGGCCCTCAAGTATACCACAAGATAAGACCACAGGAGCAATCTGATCTGTCATGTTACCACCCAGTAACTCTTTGAATGATCAGTACAAAACACAGAAGTTGCAAAAATTAACTTTATTTGAAAATGTGTTTTAACTTGTAACTTTTTAAAATCTGTTACACAGCAGTCTCCTATGTAATACCTTTTAGACCAATTTGTAGCAGTGATGTTTTTTCTGCATTCACCAAACAAATGAAAATCTGTATGGATGTTGATTTTAGTTATTAGTCTATGCCTACCCTTTAAGAGAAAATCCTGCAAAATGGTAATGATTAGTAGTAGCCTAAGTTAGTACTTTGACTAGTTTATATGTCTTGAAGCAGTCATTGTCTTATGCACACATGCAAATACAATGCAAAATATTTTTAATTTTGCATTAGGCTACATTGTGGTGCATATGGTATAGTATTTTACATAAAATAGGGATCTATATTATACTCAGAACTTGGCACTGAAAAGGCCATTATCTACTTTTACAAGTGCACTCTACTGCAGTTGGTCAGCAAAATGACTTCACAAATAAATGAAACATTCATAGACATTCATGTTTGAAGTGGATATTTTGACGGATGATTGACACGTGCATGTCGCATAGGCCTACTGGTTTACAGCAATCAGCCAAGTGTGTAAAATGAACCCTGAAATATAATCCAGGCCAAAAGCTTTATGAATGTTTTATATTAGCTATTATTCTTTTCCATGTGTTTAAAAAAAGCTATTAATTACCAATTAATTACCTGAGTAGTAATAAAATAACTACAAGCCCCCCCCCCAAAAAAAAGAAAAAAAAATCAACATGTTTGAAATGTACTGCATATTGTTATGAATATATTTATTACTATATTTTTAGGTGGGCGAGATTCAAAGTCAGTGGTTAAAGGAGCTGTACAAGGTAAGTATAGAAAGTATTTATTAATTATGGAATTTCCAAATTTCTTCTGTCTAATTTTTTTTCCTTTTGTAGACCATTCACAAATACCGACCACGGTTTGTGGCGTTACACTTCCAGGAAGTCGGAGGAAAAGACTACATGGCCAACATGGGCTATGCCGAGAACTTCTTCAGGTAAGACATACGCTTGTGTTAGGAGGACAATAAGTAAACAGACTGAGTTCCTTTGGTGACAACAAGAGCAAATCACTGTATGCTACAATGCAAATGATTTTTGTGACGCTTGTCATGCACCAACTGTATGTAGAATCATTTTTTTGTTTGTTTTTGGTTTCTTTTTTGGCTTCTGTTCTGTTATTCTTGCAGTTAGTTGTGTTTCAACCCAGTTGAACTCTAAATAATATATTTTATGTTTCACTGGTCATATAAATGTTCTGTGTCTGATCCTGTTATCCATGTCAATTGAGATGTACAACATGCCACAAGCCACTAGGTGGAGACGTTGACTCAGCTTTACATTTACTGAACGTTAGACGTTAGAAGTTTTGTTTTTACATTAGGTTAATTTATTGTCTCTGTAATACCCTATGCTGCTAAATAGGCCTATTCCGACTATAATGCAGACTCATTCAGCAGTGTTCAAATGTTATATACCTTCTCCTATCTTATGCATTTTTTTTATCTTAAAGTTCTGTATGTAATGTTGTTACAGGAGCATAGAGACAAGTGAAGAAATGCGTGATTTTGATCGGGCCTGTATCTACATAGACAACCGCTTTCAAGCCGAGGACAGCTTCACGGTGAGAACAACATTCTGAAACAGGGTTTGACCCTTTGAGATACTTCCACTAGAGTGCGCTCTTCTTTGTTTGTTTATGTTGTTGCAGTATAGTGCAAAGCAAAGCCATTAATTTTAAGTTGGTTCCAATTTATTGTGTGTGTGTATGTGTGTATATATATATATATATATATATATATATATATATATATATATATATATATATATATATATATATATATATATATATGTGTGTGTGTGTGTGTTTCTCACCTTCCACGGGGGTTGGTCTCTCTCACCCTCATTCAGCTCGGGTCCTCTACCAGAGGCCTGGGAGCCTGAGAGTTCAGCGCAGTATCTTTGCTGTTCCCAGTGCTGCACTTTTCTGGACTGAGATGTCTTTTACTTTCCAGGCTCTCTCCAGCTCCTCCTTGAGCCCATGGTATTTCTCTGTTTTCTCGTGTTCCTTTTTCCTGATATTACCATCGTATTGCGATGTCCACCACCACGGCTCTGCTCTGCTATGTGTGTGTGTATGTGTGTATATATATATACGCACGCACGCACGCACACACACACACACACACACACAGATCATGTTTACAAATCATTCCTAGTTCATTATCAGTTTGTTTGTCCACCAGAAATCACAAAGAAGCCTATTCTCACTGTGTCCTGACTGGTTGTGTGAGTTGAGTGTTGTTGAAACTGGAGCCTTAAACCCACATAGATCACTATGATTTAGTACGAAACTATGTTGCAGTGATGCTGTTTGGCTTGGCCAGAAGGTTTGTGTTCAAAGACCAGTTTAATAAGTCATGCGTTTTGCAGACAACATTTCTTATCTTCATTTTTTGTTGAATTCAAGCTCCACTGGATTTCACAGGTACAAGGACAATGCTCGGGTCATTGGTTCATAATGTCATTTGGTGCTACGAAATTCAACTTTTTATTTGACCTCTTCAATTACGTCTGGGTGACTCAAGCTATAGCTGTAATTGTCTGTACAGCAGCCTTGATACTGTATATGAGCGAAGTACTATTAACCCTTACTCCTCCCAGATGATACTTTTACACTGGATATCTGACAGCAGGGGTCAATTTGTGAACCAGAGGAAGGTAAGAGCCAAAAGTCAATGGCCAGGTGTACAGAGACAGGCCAAAGTCAATGCATTAAACTCTAGATTAAAACTATTGATCCTGGCCTATTTGTAAACAATAAATAAGCCGTGAGGGCTTCGACGGACAGCTGGGAGTTAAGTTTGCCTGCGCTCAAGTCTTCTGCACCCTGCTCCAGTGGTCGCCCTGAGAGGTTTGCAGCGAGTAGAAGCCCCCACCAGCCGCACAATGTCTCATTCTCATTTGGTCTGTGCCACCTGCATTGATTTTCAATTTGTTTCCTGTTGGCGGGGGATCATCAGTTATAAGGGCCAAGAGTCGGTTTGGGGAGTTCTCCTTTCACATTCGCTTGCAGAGGCAAAGGGGGCAGACTTGCGTATACATTCCCAGTACAAATGGTGTTTTGATAAAAAATCACTTGTAAGTCAATATTTTTTTATTAAACTGTGCACAAACCTGATTGATGAAGACCGTTGTTTGGCTGAGTATGTGAAGGGGAATGTGTTTGGACTGTTCGTATGTGCACTTTCTGTTTTTAAAAAGACCGATATTTCCCAATAAACGTATCTAACCCATCTACTACCATAATATGAGTAATTTAACGTCCAACCTTGTGTAGGTTACACTATATAGTTAAGCTGTGATAAGCATGGGCCATATTTCCAAAGAACCAAATTTGAACTTGAAATTTTCTAAGCATTCATGTAAACACTCAACATAGGTGATGGTGGTGTTGTAGTGGTTCCCAATCTATTTTGACTTGACTATCCCCTAATTCTAATTTTTTATTACACTCTATTAACAGTATTGGAGTTTCTTTAATAATTATAATAATTAATATTATTACTTGTTTACTAGCACAATACCAATTTTATTTTCTGGTTTTCATAAAATGTATATCAAATATATTCTTAAAGATGTAAAATGTACTACTTTTTTTTTTTTTTTTACATTCAAATACCAGTGAATTCCACATTTCATTAAAATCTGAAAAAATTTCAAGTGCACCCAGGCAAGTGCTTGCATACCCCCAGGGATCTCCGTACCCCTGATGGAGAAACACTGGTGTAGTGAGTTATGTTTTGGCCCAATAACGGGAGAGACACTGGTTCCAGCCGCACTTAAAACAGATTAAAATGTTGGCTCTTTTGCACAGTACAGGTTTGTAATAACTTTGTAATGAGCTTGATTATCCTGTGACTGTTTGTAGCTTTACAATGAGGTCTTTTCGTTATTGCTTCCTATCAGATTAAAATGTCTTGGTGCAGTCTGAACGTTTTGGTCACTAATTACCGTTCACTGGAGCTGATCAAAGAGGCACTTCAGTTTTATTAAATAAGGATTATTTTGACAGCATAGATAGATGCTGCCTTCAGGGACAGATCTCTCACGTTTGTGTGGGACGGTCACGCCCTTCGCCCCTCTCTGCACCCGCTGATTTTTCTTGTGCCCCCGCTTACTCAGGCAGCATTGGCAGACAGCAAGCCAACTGCTTAATACCTTTTAAATTGTTTTAATTTTCTGTCTTTATTGATCTCAAGAGGAATGATTAATCAGATCAGTGGAGCAGGCAGTTAGTACATTAAAAATTGTCAGGCCTTGTCAGGGATGATTTGGTGCTGAAGTGTGTGGAGAGCGTGTGTGTTATGTGCTCAGTGTGTGTAGACTTTTGTATAAATAGTAAAATAGTGCAGGTTGTGTGTGTGTGTGTGTGTGTGTGTGTGTGTATGTATGTATGTATGTATGTATGTGTATATATATATATATATATATATTTATATTTATATATTTATTTATTTTATTTATTAGTATTAGTATTATTTTCTGCTTTCTGGTTGCAGGCTTTGGGCAGCATGTATTTCATCCACAAGACACTGAAAAACATCTTACAATATGATTTTAATGGTAAGACTTTTTCCCATAAAATGTCTGTATCAGTCAGAAACAGCAATAACAATGTTTGTCATGAACGAATGTCTGTTTAGGCTTGAAAAATTTAAAAGAAAAAAAGGGAAAGGTTTAAATCATATTTAAGAACCTAAACATGTTTTGAACTATTCTTTATTTCATTTTTTATCTTTAAACATTGCTGCATATTTCCCTTGATCAAACTTTGAACTTAATATTTTTGTAGTATAATTACTGGTTGCCTAAACTGAAAGCGAACAGTTTAGCGTTTAAACCTTAGACTTCTCTGCTGCATAAGTCCGATCACGTTATCCATGAAAAAGCTGCTCACAAACACTTATGGAAGAACCATAAAGAAGTGGAGCTGCCAGTGTCTGTGCTGCTGTCTGCCTCGGCACGCCTAATGTCTCTGTTATAGATCCTCTCATCGCGTATGCCACTCTGATGAGGTTAACACCAGTTTATTGATTGCTGTTTGCATGTTTTTTCACTCTTTTACATGTCACAGCTCTCACCTCCCCTTTCTCTCTTCTGCCTCTCACAGTGAAGGATTTTAGACCTGTCTCAGGGCAGAACAAGTACATGGATGCTCTGGATTGCGTTGCTACTGTGGAAAAAGAAAAATTCCCAAAGAATTTCTGGCCTGACGTAAGTATATACAGATGACGGTGAGTTTGTGCATGCATTGATTTGTTTGTTGGTAGTGTGTATGTCAGTAATGGGAGGGGTACTCTGGGACCAAGGGGAGAAGTGGGGACAAATGAGTCTTCTGGGGCACAGAGCTGTCTGCCGCCTCTGACAGGGAGATGAGACAAATTATGTGAAAGGATCAATAATTATCAGTTTGGCCTCTCAAAGCTCACTGCTGTTTAGTGACTCGTGCTCATCCGTCTGTGTTGCAGTTTAAATGGTCCAGAAAGGGCTTCATGAGGACACGCTGGATTATACACAGCCAGTATGTATGCCACACACACAAATTCCAAAGCTCAATTAATAGTTTGTGGATTTTAGAAGCACTTAAATTGAATAAATAATCACTTTTGATAGAAATTAATGGTTTAGATGGAAAACAGGATTAAATGGTACACCCAATGTCATTCAATTACTCTGTGTGTAAATCATATGGGACAAGTGGGCAAAAATGCAATATATTGGAGGAATATATTTTTGTTTCTGGAATATATTCATGTTTTTTTTTTCCTAGAACGATTATGCTTTAACCTTATCATTTTAGTTTTCAACATCTACTATATTTACCAAGATTTATAGCCTAAGATTTTTTTTCTTTATCTTCTAGGGCCTTAACTTGTCAGGTTTAAACCCACCTAAACATTGTAAAAACAAGAAGAAAGACAAGAGATTAATCAGGTTTTACTTGCGAGGAGAACGGACAGAGAGCCGTCTCTTTTTATTTCCTTAGGGTGGTCCCTAGCTGCAATGGGTGTTTCTTTGCTCTAAAGGGAGGGGGTGAAAACAGCAGAAACACCAGACATCATTATTCATTGTACCAATATGTATTATCAACAGCAGGTAACTGGTAAGGTGCAACTGTGTAGCATATCAGTAGTCAGGGAGTCAGGGAGTAGTAAGAGACAGTTCCTTCCCTGCAACCTTGAGAACTGTCTCTTCCCAGCAGAGCGTTGAGTCAGCCGTTGTGCACGCAGGTGGAAGGCCACTGCATACAGTTTCTCAAGCACAAAGAGATTATTCAAATTCACACAAACAAAATACATAGAAAATATGGGATAATATAAAAATATTCTAACATAACTATAGAGAGACTCCCAGTCTGTTGTAAATCAGCAGATCAGTCAACAGATCAGTTAGTTTCAATATGTTTTCCAGTGATAGTTAAAAAAAAAAAAAAAACTGTCACAGCAAAAGTGTGACAGAAGACTAATGTCTGTTTAAGAATATACGGAAAACCTCTGTATCACAGACTCTTATTATATGACTTCCTGTTTTGTCCTGTCACCTGCCACTATTGTTGGTGTGTGTACAGACTACAGGCAGTAGCGATAGTAAACAGATATTGCGATGTGCATGAATGAATGACTATGTATTTGTAACAGGGGCTTGGACCTGGTGAACATCCACCTCTTCCATGATGCCTCTAACCTGATTGCCTGCACCTCAAGTCCCTCTATTTACTCTGCAAACCGCAAAAACGCCCTCCGATATGTCATTAACAGGTTAGATATAAAAATGCATGGAAAATGTTATGTATGAAGAATTTAGGAATGTTGTCCAAGTATTTAGCATATCTGTATTTATTTGAAATGCATTTCTGTAAGTCAGAATTGATCATGCTGCATGTGTTTGAATAACAAATGTTTTGCAATAATAAAAAAATAAATAAAGTTGTTTACTTGTCTTTTACAGGATATCAGACAATCAGCACACTCCCATGCCTTTTTTCCTCTTTGGAGATTTTAACTTCCGTCTCGATGCACTCAGTCTCGTGCAGGTATGATTAGAATTTTATCGCAATATCACTTAATGACGCTTTCATTCATTTAAAAAAGTAAACCTGTTTTATTTTGTGCACAGCATCTGTCCACATCAGCCGAGGTCCAAACTGTAAAGAAGGACAGCAGTAATGAAGTCGAGAAGATCATTTGTGAAGAGAAAGATAATGACCACAAAGTAATTTATTTTATTATATTATGATTAATGAATTCAACTATTAATTAGTTTAGTTAACTAGTTTAGTGGCATGCCTTTCCTCATTTAACTAGTAATCATTTGACCTGCAGGTTTTACTTCACATTGAGGAGAAATTGTTTACCTATCTACATCAAGCAGTTTTCAGAGAGGACAATGGCCGAGCGGTAAGAAAATAATATTTACCATTTACTCTTGCTGATCTCCAAACTTGATAATGTGTCAGCCAGTAAACCTGAAGACATTCTGATGTGATTGATTTGATGATTAGAAAACAACAGTAATGAATGGTATGAATCACATGAGGAAAATAAACACAAAGGAAAAACAATAGCAAGTAACCTGAATAACCTCACATTTACAAACTAACCCCAGTAACCCATGCATTTTTCTTTCACTTTCACTTCAGCTTTTAAAATACGACAAAGAGGTTTCAGCATTTCATGATGTTATAAGGGAAGAAGATATCATGTTTCCACCAAGGTAAATACATGTCTTACCCTGAGTAAACAAATCTGACCATGTTAATAAAATTAAGAGGAATGTCAAATAGATATTTATCAGTACACATGGAGGAAAATATTTAAATAGCAACGATTATATACGTAATTATTACTTATAAATGCAGTGCAGATCAAACAAGTTATCTCATAAGTATTTTCTTTTACTTTTGTTTTTGATGTTCATTACTAATATTATTATTATAATAATATTCTAATTATTCTAATACACGGGATTTTCTCTGCCTCTCAGCTATCCCTACAGTGAAGACTACACTAAACCAACCCAGTACATGAACACACGCTGTCCAGCCTGGTGTGATCGTATTCTCATGTCCCACAGTGTCCAGGACCTCCTCCTACACTCAGTGAGTCCAACACTCAGTACTTATTGCCGTCCTTATACAGTATTTTCTATTTCAGCACATGTTGAACTTCAAATATAATTTCAGCACGAGGACAGTGAGCACAGCTTGGTCTACAACACAGTGGGTCCCAATGTGTGCATGGGAGACCACAAGGTAAATAAAGAATATTTGATATTTATTCGTTTATTTAAGTGATTAATCTAAGTGTAATTAAAATATGTTAAGTGTTACTGAAGTCTTTAAAGGTGCATTGCACAACTTTTCTGGTGTAGGTTCGTCACCTGCTTTTCTCCATGATGTTATTGCTTTGTCTAGAATGTTCCACTGTAGACCTCAAACCTATCTGTTTCAAGGGAGACACCTGTAGGCTACATTACAATTCTGATCTGCAGAGAGACAACCCTATTCACAGAGAGATTTATTGTATTTTTGAACAATAGAAACACCCATAATGAATAAAGGCTAGATAGATGTATTTAATGGCATACCATGGAACATTCCAGTCAAAGCAATAACATCTCCATGGGCAATGTTCCCTCTAAGGTACACGTGATTGCACTGCCAGACGTTCAGCACGTACATCAAATTATTTGCAGCACACTTTACGGGGCACTTATTTCCCAGGGTGACATGTCGGATGTTGCTCACAAGGGTCCAAGGAATGCTCAGGGAGTTAGTGTGTTTGCTCAGACAAAAAAAAATTAGGGGGAACATTGTTCATGGGGACAACCATGTGACAGATCCTTCTCCAGAAAAGTTGCGCAGTGCATCTTTAAAATCTTTTGCACAAAAGAAAAAAAAAACTATACAGCAGAATTGTATAATTTCTTTCTTTTTGTAGCCTGTTTTCTTGTTCTTTGCACTGAAGACAAACGACCACTGACCCTTCTCCTTCTTATGGTAATAACACTAACACAATGAATAGCCACTGTCTTTAAGCCTTTAAGCCTGCTCAATGTTCAGTTCAATGTGTGAAGTGATCACTGTAATCTGGCCCTATTTGTCCCTGGAGGGCCATAACGGGTGTGGGCCCTGTGGAGTTTGGATATGAACTAAGATGAAGTGCTGGTCCTACACGAGCACTGCTGTGTGCCTGTTGTCACTAAACCAAAGGCTATCAGCACCATCCCCTGATCTATGTTTGTTAAATCCTGTCCGCTGACACCGCTGCCATGTGCTAACTGCATCTCTGAGTGTCTTTTCAATAATTACCACCCTGATGGCCGGCCAGAGACACATATATTGTGCTGGACGGGATATTGGCACTTTTACGGTCATGATTTTGTTTTCTCTGCCATTTAAATTTATTTTCCACCAAATTTATAGCGTTTTAACAAGCACACCACTTGAGAAGCATGCAGAATGATTAGAGGCACGGAAACAATGGAGAAGCATATTGGGGCTTTAAATTATTTGTCTGACAGATTGAGCAGTATTAGCCTATGCCTCAGTGACTTTACATTTAAGGCTACAAGCAAGGCAGCTGTGCAGGCCACCCAAATATACTGCATAACATATTTGTACTATAAACTATTTTTGTGGGTATTTCAATTTTTATGGGTAGTTTTCATCTCCCGAGTAAGGATTATTTTTTTTTTTATAGTTAAATTAAATAACACTTCAATATTTGATTTGATGTTGTATAATGTTTTGTAAAATAAATACTTTACACTTATACCAGACTTTTTAAACAATATTTATACATCTTAAAACATGTGCAGCATTAGTAGAACTGCCCCTTTTGTACTGAAACTACTTTTGTACTTTTCCAATGAAATAACAAAATAGTGGCGTTCCCCTTCTTTTCAGTGCAATAGTCAAATTGAGCCACTGTTTATAATGTAACATAGCCTAGTCTATTTTTGTATTATTTTGCATGTTTGTTTTGTTTTGTTTTTCTAGTTATATGTGTTAATTGTTTGTGTTCTTACAGATTTTGAATACAGGAGCTGTTTAAGAACTGATTCCAACCATAACTCAGCAGTAAGATGCCACACCAAGACCTCTCTTTACTTAACAAGAACAAAACTGAACATCATATTGTCTTTTAAATATCTATCTTTTACTCAGTGGACCAAGAATGAAAGACTCGAGTCTCCTTTTTGTGTTTTGTATTTTGTGTGTGTAAATGTTTAGCCAGAAGGATTGCAGTGACACATAGTACTATTCAGTTATTATCATGTTTATTTGTTAACACTTGTTCTGATTTTAGGTATTTATTTTGCTGTTGGAAGTAAACAGATATGAACAACAGTCATG